GGAGGTGGGAGGAGTAGAAATATGCTAATACAGAGTCAGCAATTTGGTTCAAAGCAAGAATAATTTTTAAAATGGCAGTATGTTTCTAGATGTGTTCACTTTAGAACAACAATAATCTAAAGTAGTGTTTCTGAACCTCAGCAACTTTAAGATGTGTGGACTTCAACTCCCAGAATGGGAGCTGGGGGATTCTGGGAGTTGAAGGGGGATTCTGGGAGTTGAATGGCCACACATCTTAAAGTTGCTGAGGTACAGAAACACTGATCTAAGGAATACTGGCCATTGTTAATAGCAGAATATAGTAATTGAATGTGCTTATTGCACATTCCAAGACAGAAATTTGGAAAATCTGGTCCAGCTGATTCTGGTTTGGCCATCATGCCCGCTCTCCTCTGCTATGATCCTGTGGCTCAGGTGCTTCTTTCTCAGGAGTTTTAGCTAATCTCAAACTCTGTTGGGATTTTGAAGAACAATTTATTACTCAAAAGTAGTTATTGAAGCAATGTCCACTGTTTGAATCAAGTCTCTATATTCATTTTTGAATTGTACAAGAAATCAGCTTTGTTTAACCTTAGTGACATTCAGGTTGTGTTGGATTACAACTCTTGTTGTCCCCTGCCAGCACTATTATTGTCTACACTGAGTAGGATGATGGGAGTTATCTATTTAATTAATTAATTAATGTGTATGCTGAAGAACATCAAACTTGAGAAATGTGTCCACAATCATGAATAGTTCAGTACCTGGATGATTTCTAATTTAAAAGTAAAGTCTTTATGAGGTAAGTGACCCATCAAATTGCTCTAACAGGTTCCTACCACGTATTCTCTGAACTGGATGTCTGTGCACTAGGTATCCTCTGGGGAGATATGCCGAACTCTTTCCTAATTTCTTCAGTCCTCAGTTTAAATCTTCCAGTTCCATAAAGCAGCTATAAACATACAACTTATGTTAGGGCACCCTGAACTAACCACAGCTTCACTGTATATTTAGACAAGAAAAAAAGTTAAATAGTCTTTACCAAAGGACTTTTCTGACCTTCAGGGCAGCCACTGGGGGCTGCTAATCAGTATAAAACAAAAATGCAGGATATTTAAGCACAGATCTCTTAGCTGAAATGAGAGTTTGGATTTCTGCCACCTATTAAGGAATCACTGTAATTCATTGCAGTGGAATTCAGTTCCCCCTTGTTCATTGCATGATAAATTTCCATTTCTTGTTCATCTGTTGTATATAATCCTCACTTGTCTTTTCGTGGCTGCATTTCTCTTGGGGAAACAACTGCATTTTCCAGCCATTTAAAATATAGTACTTTCTTTCTGGGAAAAATTAAGTATTCTTCCCTGTCCAAGTATACATATATTGTTATTGGAATTGCTTTCAGGCATGAAAGCTGGATGGATGTTGCCCCACCAATAATAAGAACAGACTAAGTGATCTTTGCAGGAGTACCAGGCACATATGAACATCCAGAAGAAGCTTTTACCGCCTGATCATCTTGCCACACATTCCAAATTTTATGGGAGGATCCAGACAACAACATCTTGTCCTCCACCACTTCTCAGTTTTTTCCCCCAGAAAATCTGTCAAGGAAAGAAAAATAGAATAACTGGATGATATCTTTTGATTGATAAAGCTAGCAGTTATCTGGAAACAGCCACAGATGTGAAATAGTGTGAAGTTAATGACACTAAAAGCCTCACAAACTCTTAATTTTGAAACAAGGGTTTTGATGGTTGAACACTTCTATAAGGGTCAGAGCAGTATCAGAACAGTTTTGGTGAAGTTGGAGCAGCCATTTTGAGCCTAAAATGGGGTGTTTCAAACTCAAATAATTCAGACCAGAAATCTTTTGCATACTCTAATGCCTTAAAATGGAGAATTAAGTGGGCAAAGTGAGTCTGCACATGATTAAGAAGAGGTTGTGCAAGAAGTTTGGAAGTGAAGGAGAAATGACTGAAGAAGCAGGGAAATAATTTCTTGAGATGATGCATTTGAAAATGTAGGAAAGGAGCATGTTGAGCAAGTGAAGACATGAGGTGCTAACCTTTTTTTTTTTTACACCTCAGCATGAGAAATGTCATTAAATTAATAGATGAGGACTTTATGTCATATAATGAATATGAATTCTATGTTCTTCCATGCCCTTTCTGTTCCATGTAAGCCTCAAATATGGTTACCCTCTTGCCTCTGCACTCCATTAAACCATGAAGGTTCTCTTCAGCTTCCATTCTGCTAAATCTATCCTGTAGATTGCAATCAATTTCTCTTTTACTCTTCCTGTTCCCCACGTTTCAGTTATTTCTGCTTCCCCTATGCCTGTCTGGTCCATCTACCAGAGACATTTAATCTTCGGAGTGAAGATCACATAAATTACGTACCATACAAATGATGACGAGGACGAAAAATCAAAGGAGATGAGAAGTTTAAGAAGATAGAATCAGTCTGATGTTGCAGCATTGGAAGATGGAGGTCTGTAGTTGTGCATACAAGATATTTCATGAAAAATTACTCACCCCATGAATTGCAACCTGGTGAGAAAATTTGCTGAAGAAGCTAACTAAGAATGTAATCACTGTTGGTTGCACAAATAAATATTGAACTTGTATTATATTCGCAGCTAAAATAATATGTACAAAGGTGTTCAAATTGCTTTCCAGAAACCTCTGGGGTTCTGCATGAGAAAAATCAGGAAAGATAGACTTGTTTTCCAGGAAGAGAGCTTCGCTTTCATTTTTACTGTCTTCCTCAGAATTGCAGAGAAGTCTTGCTTGTACTCTAAGGAATAAAGACCATACGAAGACACTTCTTGAGATGAAAAGCAAGATGACATCTTTCTCCATTCCATGCACAAAATATTACATTGGTGTGTACAGCATCTATAGCTCCTAAAGGCAACAGACATGCACAACTCTGTTCTGCAGCATCTTAGTGCTGCTTCCTATCAATGTAACATGAAATGGACTTCTCCCTCTCTCTAACAGGAGGCTGGTCTTCATATCACTACTCACTGATGCCGAGCAGCATTGAGGCTCCTTGGTGCATAGGATATATGTCTTTAAATCCTTTGCAGCATACAGGACCTTCATCCCAGATCCTTAACAAACAAGTCTGGCTACTAAAATTTGAAAGCCAGTTCAATTTTAGGATTTTTCATTTTGGAAAGGAAGGGCCACAGCACAGCAGTAAGATGTTTGCTTGCAAAAGGTTTTATCATCAGTTGTTTTGTCCCTATATAAACTGGGAGATGCTTATGCCCACTACCTGGGAGAAATATTGCCAGTCCTTATAGGCAGGCATCTGATTCATCCAGGTCTTGTGGAGTACCATTTCTATAAATCTTTATTGGTTAATTATGGAGATTATGGGATTTAGTTTCTCCAATACTGGAATAGAATCAGATTGCCCACCTATAGTGTAGATACCCCTGAACTTGATACACTAATTAACCAAACTGGTTCAAGGCAATTTCTTTGCCCTATGTAACCTTGTCCAGGCCACCTTCCCACCCTCTCAAGGTTTGTTAAGGTCCAAGTTGAACAGTCTGTTTTTGTCAATCTGAGAGACAGAGAAAAGGAGGCAGAGTTTATCAAATTTCACTTGTTTCTTCTGTTCATGAAATGGAATTTCACATCCAGATCTGTCAAAGCTTAAGCCATTTTAGACAGAGCACTTCAAAATGGCTCAACTTTCACTCCATTTCCACACCAATTCTTCAGAACCAGATTGAAGCCACCCTTCAGCTGTTTTCAATTCTCTTGTCTTGAAGCCCAGAGAACCCCATGAGCCAGTCAGTTCTCTCTCCAGCTGAGAGTTCAAATAATGAGAATCAGTGTCCACCCTGAATTGCCACAGGCCCTGGAAAAATAAAAATCTCCTGACCCGGATCACACAAAATACATTACCACCAGCCCAGTAGCATTTTTTAAAAGAGTTGTTGCAGAGGAGGAGCCACACTGTTGTGAAGACTCTGTTTCTACTATTTGGCTAATATAAACTTTTGCTAGTTGTGAGGTTGGAAGAATCAGCATTTCTCTGACCAGGTGCTTCTCCCAATAAGTGGAGCTTCTGAAGGGGCATTAGGAGAAGAAGGGGTTGGCCTTTGCTAAGCTGTTTTCATCTCCCACTGCACCCCACATCCTTCTTCCAGTTTTGAAGGAGAGAATGCTTCTCTGCCCCAGCTTCCTCAGGTTCAGCAAATTCACTCTGAAATAAGCTGGGCTTCCTCACAAAGAAGGCCAGGCAGATTAGCAAATCTCTGGCTGCTTATTAATCCATTACAGGACAGGATTAGAAATGAGGGTGAGCACTCCAGCTGAGCTCAGTTGTGAGGTAAGGGAAAAGCAAGCTTGCTAGGGGGAGGTTATAGTCATGGTACAACTCCACTGTGATGCTGGAGATCAATAAGGCCACTGAATCCTGGCTTGGCTGCAGGCAGGCATAAATCACTCCCATCCATTCCTCTTCCTTCCTTGACATGGGCCTGAGGGCTGCCCCCTCCCTTCCCACGATGCCTGATGGATTGCAAGCTCCTGTCTACATCCAGGCTTTATTTGTTGCCTGGATGAACACTGCAATGGAGTTGGCTGAGGGAGGCAGGTGCCACTTTGCTATGACCAACTCTTTCGCCTGACTTCTCCCTCATAGGCACATGGCTTGCCTCCTACTGGAAGATCTGTGAATGTTCCCTTGGGATTTGAGGCATTCCACTCTACTAGCCTCTGCTATCCTGGGCAAGTCTAATGCTGCTGCTTCTGAAGCAATACTTCCCTACTCCGGGCTGGCAGGCAGGCAGACTGACTAACTGATTGGCTGTGCTGTTTCCATGCTTCTTTCTCAGCTTGACTTTGTCAATTGGACTCACATAGAAAAAGTGGATGCCACAAGAAAGTCTACCTGGGCATTCTGTCATTCAGCCATGAACATTATTATGTGGTTCAAAAAGCCTTTTATTGGCAGGGTCAAACTCCACAAAATGTGGCACAAAATAGCACCTTTTGTTTCTCTTGAGAGAGGTTTGTGATTCTTCCCTGAGCAAGTGATCCCCAAATAGCATTTTACCCTCCCTATTATTAGCCATCATAGTTCATTGCACATTACTAGCTCCATAGTTAATAATACCGCTCCACTTCCCTAACCTCTTAATATTTAAACTATAGCATGGCCCAGCTGGTGCCTTCTTACAGGAGGGCTCATAGGTGCCTTTTCCGTATCCTTTGGTCTGACTTGGGTTCTTGGATGTGGAGGTATCTGTACTCATGGCAGGACAATAGCTCTTCTGCACCAGAGGTAAGGGTGGGGAGTGGAGGCTTGGGCCTACAGGCATATTGCCTGCTGTATGCCTTTGGGGCAGGGGGAATGTGGGGGCAGAAAAGAAGACAGCCTTGGTGTGTCTTGAGATGAACCAGGCTCCTGAGATAAAACTTGTCAGCAGATGGAGCTGGTTGAGGTAGTTTTTCTGGGCTGTGCTACTCACACACCCCTTCTGCCAGCAAGGCAAGAGCATGGCTCCTCTTTGCCACAATGCTACTCTCTTAGCTGGGCATGAGAAAGACTGCAGTGTCCCCATCAGGTCATTTCAGTCCCATATTTGACCATAGCTGCCAAGCTCAATAAATAGAGAAAGCGGACCAGACAAGCTGGACTGTGTAATGTGGGGCAAAGGAGTGATAGCCACAGCATGGCCATATAGTCTGGATGTGGTGCTGCTGTGTGTGTGTGTGTGTGTGTCAATCCAGGGCAAATGGCAGGGAGGGAAGTGGGCCTTGAAAGAACCTTTCTGCAGAGTCTAGTTCTTGTGCTAGTCAGCATCTGCTTGGATTCTGTCATAGCCCTTGTCAGGTTGAACTGTGAGAAGATCTAGATCCAGGTTCCTTGGAGAATCCCAACTGCTTCTAGAGTATTTGCCTAGACAAAGTTGCTGCTCAGTCTTTGCTGTGCTTCCTCATCCCACTCTATCTTGGCACCATACTCATCACCTGCAAACCAGACAGAAGAAGAAAGGAGGGATATTAACCCAGCTAACAATGCCAAAGGGCAGTATGTATCTCCAGCCTGTGGTATGTGGTTTATCTTCCAACCACGGCTAAGGCTTTCTGTTGTGTTTATACCTGTATGGCATCCATGCAACCAGATACGTTGTCCCTCATACTGGCACTGACAGCGAAGGGCATTGTTGGAAAAGTCAGATTCTGCTACCTCCTGCTTAGGATTCACAACAACCTGGCAAGATAAAGGGAAGGATGGCTTATAGTTCAGTTTGATTGCTCTCTTCTGATCTTCTTCTCTGTCCCCATTACCAGTTTTAGTAAAAAAAAAATATCTATGACAAAGCAACTGACAATAGGGGCCAAATTCATGCCTAGGAGGTTGTTAGGGACGATACCTCTTTGTTCAAACCAAGCCAGACTTCCTTCCCAGACTTACCTGGAATATGTAACTCCCAGGTGGCACATCAGTGATATCTACCCATTGGCAGTCAATGTCATGTCTGTATGTGTCCCAGCAACCTACACTGACACCCTGCTCTCCAAAATTAGCACAGCCAAAACGCCGCTGCATTCCTATATGGAAGAGAACAAGATGGGTGACAGAGAGTAGGCCTTGCCTCACTCACAAGATACTTCTGATGGTATGTACTTATGAAGTGGTGCAAATGTAGTACTTGATTCTAACTTTCTTACTGTTCCCTCTGAGTCTATGTCATTAATTTTCTCTTACCTTCTGGGCAGTTGGTGTCCTCCAGGCAGAAACTGGCCTTATGTCCCTCAGCCACCTTGGAGCCATTGAGTGTCAGTAAGTCATAGTGAGTGAAAACCTCAATGCTGTGGTAATGTCTGTGGGATGAAGAAGAAGAATCAGAAGGCTGCTGTAGGTCAGGATAAAACTATGGCTTGGAAGAAATGGGCTTGTCTAGATAATAGCCAAACAGTCCTTCGTGCTACTTGTGGCAGCGAGAAACAAAGATCTGCTGAGCCATGAAACGGAGCAATGTAGAAGGATTAAGCTGGGCTTTTGGCTCAGCTGCTATTATAGCTCTTCATCCATGCTCAACCATAATGATAGCTTTAGCATAAACACTGCTATCTTCCCAGATGCAACAATCTGAGCTCCCATCATAAAAGAGCTTGCTGAGGTGGAATATCTTTCAGTGGGACACGTGAACCTCAACTCACAGGGAGAAGAAGAGGCTAGGTTTAGAAAAGGAAAAGTAGTCTGGACCACATCTTGTTTTTTAAAAAATGAATGAACAAAACTACCGACAGGAACTAACAACAGCTTTCAGCTTCAAATTATACACATGCATCAGATAGCAACAGCAATTTGATATGACAAAGAAGCACATGTTACTGGTCCCAGTATGTCAAGAACTGCCCACTACCTGTGGCACTCGTGCCATATCCATGCGTGACGGCCACTTTTTGGAAGAAAGTCAGCCCGACCCAGGTTGTGAATCTGAGAGGAGAAGCGCAGCAGGCGTCGATACCCCTCTGGCCAGTTCATATGGTCAGCAGAGGCAGAAAGGCAACCTTCCTCATGGGCACAATATAGCATGTTCAATGGGCGGTCCTCAAGATAAGCTGTCTCCTGTACCAGTTGGGCATTCATTACCAGATCTGGGGCGTCTAAAAAGAGAAGTGGAGCATGAAGTTCTAAATCCATACAGTGTAATTTCTAGGCCCACACTGTTAAACAAATTGACACCCCTGATCCAACTACACCACTTTCTTCAGATTCCTCCATCATACTATATCTTTTGAACTTTCTCAACATTCCTTTGCTCAACCTCAACATAACAAAACAAAACAAAATCTGGCAAAATGGTAGCTCTCAGGACTGCTGTGTTGCCTAAGATAGCTGCTCTATATGAGATCCCAGTGTGTTAGCTTTAAGCATCTCCAGGCCGGACTGTTCCTATTTCCACTTACTGCGGGTACAGGTGACTCCTGCAGCAAAACGCCCCCCTCCATTTGGGCAATGCACGGGTCCATGGTGCTGACATTGTAGGATAGACAGTTCTGAGCCTTTACAACGCACACCACTCAGTACCACCTCAGAAGCATCTGCATTGCCCTGCCAGTACCATGTTTCCTGGAATAGGAACAAAGGGATAGGAACCAAGTAAATACAGGCTCTGAATTTGAAATCCCTGTCTTGGAGTAGATAAGCTCCCATGCTTCCTTTAAGCCCTTGCCTAATCATGACTAACCTGAAGGCTTGGAAGAGGAAGCCTCAGGTACCACCTCTGCAAATGAGTAAGCAAGCCAATCTTGTGCTGGTGCAGTTCAATACTTAAGATTATCAGAAAACAGTGCAGGCAAGCACTCACCTGGAGAGCATGGCTTGCAAAGCCCAGTCCCATCTGCCGACAAGCAACCATGGCCTCCTTGAGTCCCCAGTGTTCTCCACATACGGCACCCCAGCGGAAGGCACTTCCCCTGGGCATCAGTACTTCCACAACACCTTCCTCTGAAGTGCGCCCGCCAGCCAGACGGATCTGCACAGATGAAAACTGGCTTAATAGGTCAGATTAATTATGATGCAATGATGCATATTATAGGTGAATTCCAGGCTATGCTGGCATCATTAGGACTTTTGAGAACTTGGGTACAAGTTTCCTGAGAAATCCGTAATGGGTTGTATGAAGGGTTAACAGCCATTCAGATTGATCAAGTGGCAGTGGCTTTTCTTTGCAGCCTGCCAAGTTGTGGAACCCTATATTCTCCTGAGTAAAATATTGCTCCAGCAGCATTTTATCCATTCCAAACACAAGCACAGTTTATTCTTTCTTAGGTCAGGTATACCATCTCGTCTGGGCTGCTTGGCAAGAGCAGCCGATCCCCTCCTTGTATTATTCATTCCACTCCCTGCTTTGGCAATACAGGGCTTTAGTCAAAGAATTGGATCTTACTTGACGTTGTGCATCTGTTTGGGGCACATTGCAGCGGACAGCAGCATCATTGTCATGCCGGCATCCCGTCTGGGCTGCTTTTTGGGATCTGCACTCCATCAGTGATTGCTCATGTCCCCTGCACCGCACTCTTGTTAAGTGGATAGGACCCAAGCCTGTAATATGAGTTATTCTTAATAGGGATGGAGTCTCACCACATTGTGTGCCACATACACTATAGCCCAATTTCCTCCCCACATGCACAGTTATCAGCCTGATTCTCTCTCAGTAGGGTTACATGGATCTTCCTATCCTACATTGGTCCCACGATTCAATCTTCCCCAGATCCATCCTCTTCTTCCTATCCCTGAAGTTTCTCTCTGGTATGTTAGAACTTTGTCACTCTTTCTGGATTTCACTTGCCTCTGAGAAACTCCATGAGATGTTTCTTAGGAATAACTTATCCAGAATCCTCTTTCTCCTTCCATATATGGCAAGGAGGCAGGAGCCTACTTTGAGCCTTGCCTCACCCAGTTTATGGTTTACCTCATCCCTCCACTCACCTTGACCCAACTGTGCTCCTGAAAGAGCTTCTCGTGCAGTGCCATAACCCAACTGCCGACACACCACACTGGCAGCAAGTAGATTCCAGCCTTCATCACACACAGTGCCCCACTGGCTACCTATTAGCACTTCCACACGCCCTTCACCTACGTGTGCACCTGCACGGAGACGCACCTTGGGTTCCTGCTGGAGTGGAGATAGAGATTAGGGACTAACAAACAGAAGGGAGGGTTAGTGTGTATTTGTAAGAGAGGAATTGTTGTTCTCTGTCAACAGTAACAGTGAAACTCAGGGGGGCTTTCATCTAAGGTTTTTAACTTGTAGTTCTCCTGTCTCATTCTTAACATTTTATGAAAGGTCTAAGGCCACACAGATGTCCTCTTGTAAGCCTTTGGTCTTTCCACTGCTACTCTAGGATAGAACAACTATATAGGATCTATTCAGTGAACCACTATGAACCCCTCATCTGAAATCATCCTGGGAGAAAATTAGACTGGCCCTTGCCCTAGTAGAGAGGTTGCCAAATGATCCTATAGTTTCACCATGGTCAGTCCTCTTCACCATAAATACTTTGAGCATACCAACCAGGATGTATTGCCCCCTATTTTTTTCCTTTGGAAAATTATCTTCCATTTACCTGTTTAGGCTTGCCATGGCTAGATAGCTTGGCTTTCCTGGGCTGGAATTCAGGACCTGCTATGCAGCTGACCAAAGCATGCATACCATGTGGGCAGGCACTTGGATTCTGAGCCTTTGGAAGCACGTGCAGCTTGCATTCACCCAAGTGAACCTCAGTGCCCAGGCACTTAATCTGATGGATCCAGAAGGTATTCTTTTTGCTCAGGCTTTTCAGGCTGCAAAACAAGGGAAGAAATTATTGCCTTTGGTCAGATAATCATCCCTCTGGCCATCTTCCAGAAGGCTTTTTCCATGGGTGAACTGAAGTGCTATCCACCCATCCTTGAGTTGGCAGAAAACTGTACTAGCATGAAATTTGCCATCCTCATTGTCAATCCCTATCCTGTCTCTGTTGCCTTTGTTTCAAGTCACTGGAGTCACCTGACTTTGCTCCAAGGTGACAAAGTCTAACAGAATTTATACATCTTGCGTTTGTCCTTGAATGGTGTCAGAATAAGGAGGAGAATACTGCTTTAACACTGACACACAACTTCAGCCTGTCTCATTCATGGCTGGTAAGGAAAGGATGGCAACATCATGGGATCACAGCAGAAAAAGAGCATGTAAATACCATCATTAGGCGCAAGTGGGGAAACGCCTTAAAACTGGATGAATTAACCGCTGAAAGGCACAGGAAGCAATTAGGCAAATAAACACTAGAGATCCTAAAATCTCCTTTTCCCAAATATTGAGGACTGCAAGGCAATAAAAAATGAGCCAACCCCTTACCTGGACCTTGGATCCTTTAGCTTCTGATTCCAGAGTTTCCTGAAAGGAAGATCAAATATAAATGGACTTTGGCAGCAGCATTAAGAATGCCTTGCAGAAAGAGTAGATATGTCACTCAGATACTTCACTACAGGTTTTTTTTGTTGACAATTTTGAGATTAAAAAAACAAAACAAAACCTCATTCTGAACTCTTATTTCTGTGAATTACCAAATACACTGAAGCAATGGTTGTTCCTATTCTCATTTGTTCTTTTAGGAAAGGTGGCAGTGCTATCCATAGCAACTGGTTCACGGCATTACCCCAAAGGCCCTGCCACCACTGAATCTCTCAGTATCTGCATAGAAGTTCCCATAAGCAAACTGTACAGCTATGGCAAGCATCATAGAAAAGGTGCCATAGAAAAAGAAGAGCTACTTGAAGATGATGGAGACCAAAGCTCTTAACACTTTTAAGTGCCTCTTTACCAATGTGGTCAAGAAAAATGTGTCTACAGGTCATGTTGGCATTCAGAGAATTTGTTGATCTTTCTCAATCTGGGTACTCTACCCCATCAAACATGGCTATGTTTGTGATCTAACACTTTGGGAGGACACCACACTAAGTTAAGATGGTCTAGAAGTTGACGCTGGAGTGGTAGTCCCACAGAATTGATGCATAGGCTAGGGCCAGAAAGTGCAGGTTCTGCTCATCCCTGAAAAGCGCAGTCTTCACTATAATTACTTCACTGCGGTTTGGCTGATCCCCATGGTGAAATGGCTCTGGCACCCATAACTGCTCATTGCAGGACTGTATTTAGCAAGAGAATAGTGGGTGGAGTGTAGAAGATGAACAGAAGGAAACAAGCACATGGAACTGCCAGTGTGTGGGGAGGAAAAAGAGCCCACAAAATCACAGGAATTGGACAGGCCTTTCATGAGAAACAAAAGGAAATTTTAGACGAGACAGACAGAAAGACCATTGTTGTCTTTATAAAAAATCACCTGTTGCCTTATGCTGCCCCATAAGATGCCCATTAAAAAGTGGATCTCCTGATTCATGCTTATCTCTTTCTTCATCACAAATATAACATTGCATACATAGCCCTTGTATTTCTCACTCTTACCTGTAGAATCCTGTGGCCACCTGTCCTTCATGGGGGAATCCTAGCATCCCACACAGTACACGAGTGTTGTTTTGAGTCCAGCCAGCATCACACACCTGACGCCAGCGTCCCTGGAGCTTTACTTCTACTGCACCTTCCATGACAGGGGAGTTTAACTTGGCCCGGGCCAGTATTGGCTTGATCTGCACCTCTTCTACTCTTGAACCCTGCCCAAGGGAAAGAATGGATATTAACCTCTATTTTGTGATTGCTGTTAATGAAAAGTGAGCTAATCAAATGCATATGCTCAATAGTGCAGGGACAAGTCCCACTGATCTTCATTTCACATTAGGATTACATTTCCATGGCCATTAAACTCAGAGGAACTTCCATCCAAATGTGCATACGTAGGATTTGGCTCTAAACTGTTATCAGGGAAAGGAAGCAATTCCAGTCTCTAATAGGGTCCTCACCTGCAGTTGGATACGTGAAGTAGCAGAATTGAGTTGGCGTGGCCCAGTGCACACCACGCCACTATCTTCATTGTGGTTGCAGTCAGTCACCCCCCAACCATTGGATGCACATTCGGCCAGGGAGCTCTCAGTACCTGAGCACCGCATATTGTCCAGCCAGATGGGGCCTGTAGATACATAAGATCAAAAGTAGAAGCCTTGGTCGTTCTCTTCTGGGTTTAGTTTTTCCCAGCCTGATCTCACTGCCTTTCCTAAGAAAAGCCATACTGCTTCCTGTTTACAGTTGGAAGCCTTGTCTGTCTTTCAAGTCAAACATTACTTGTAATATGCATAGATCATTTTGAGAAGCCAAGCAAAGAATGTCACACCAAAACAAATAATTTATATATAATTGATGAGGCACAGGAGAGGTGTAGGAAAAAGGGTAACATCTGGGTAGAGATCAGATTACATTAGCCTTTCCCAACTAAGTACCCTCCAATTGGAATACAATTCCCATCATTCCCCATTAGCACAGCTAATAACACTTGCATTCTAGTGTATCTGAAGGGCATACATTGAGGAAGGTTAGATTGGTGGACCAAATGAATAGACTGGTTCGACTAAAAGGAAAAGAGCACAGAGGATGTGGGAAGTCTGGCCTTTCATGAATACTTGTCCTAAATACAAATGTGTTGTCAAGAAGGAAATTTAATTTAAGATGAGCATACTACGACCAATGTGTTACTCTTTTATTAGACTTTGTCTCTACCTTTCTTTAGCACTTCCAGATTTCACCTGAGGTTGAAGTGAACATAGGCCGAAGTGCCTACAGTATTGCAAGTATTCCATTTGCTACACAGTACCGTTTATGCTGTCTCTTGCTGAAAGATGAGACTTTAAGATGTATGGGATGCAATCTCCCCCTTATTTCAATTCATGGTGGCCTTTGAGCCAATGCAAAGTAAAATCTTGCTGGTCCACATGATCCCAGTGCTCAGAACAGGAATATACATAGCCCATTTACTTGAAAGCTAACCTTATAGCTTAAAAACCTGGACCAATAATTGAGTACTTTCATACTAAATACCACCTTTATTAGTGAGTTTCCAGCTCTTGGCACTGAAAATAGGTATACAGGCTGAGATCTGGCAAGCACTAAAAACTGCTTGAGACCAACAACACTCCTTCTTGGGTTTCTCCATTCCTGCCCCTCCTTACCATCTCCTGGGCCATATTTGGCGCTGTGGGCCCAGTTTATGGCCTGTTCGTAGCCCAGCTCCCTGCAGGCCACACTTGCCACATGGATGTTGAAGTCATCATCACACACTGTGCCCCACTGTCCTTTGTACAGCACTTCTAGCCGTCCTTCGCCTGCTTGGCTCCTGGGCCCCACCAAGCGCAGCTTAATTTTGGGATGTTTTGCCCAGCTAGGTACTTGCAGGCATAGCAGGAGGAGGAAGGTAAGAGGATACACCTGCAGAGGGAGCATCTCTGGTCCAGTGCTGGTGGAGATACCTGGGAGGCCAAAGAAATTGGATCAAAAGTAGCATGAGAAAGGAAAGGGTCAATGGAACTTCTTGTCAGAAGACTCCTCTTCGGTTTAAAATGGACAAGACAATTTATAGCAACAATATAAAAACAACCAGGAGGAAATGTTATTTAAAAAAATACAGGAGTAGCAAATAATAATGTATTGTAAATTATTCATTAAGCACTTAGCAATGTGGACGTATTTTAAAAAGACCCAGGTTCTTCCCCCTTGCCAGAAGGAGAATGACCGACGGACAGATGGGAAAGGATGCATGGATGTGCCGACCAGAGGAATAGCACATCATCCCAGCCACCCACATGAACAGGATGGGGCCTTATTATCTCCTCCAGAATCCTGCCACATCAGTGCAATGAAATGATTGGTTGCTTTTCTATATTTATGTCTTGGATTTTGAGAGGCGGCAGAGAATGCCCCATTTCTGTCTGAACACATGGTTCCTTTCCATGCAAAGGTAACTTGAGCATAGCTTATGAGGAGGGGACAGCCACGCAGACACAGTGCACCTTGTCCCATCACTATTTCCCTATGCCCACCGACCCCAACATCACAGACTTCACTGAGAGTTTGACTTACTCATTCCACACTGCTTGGGGCTGTGCTAAAGAACAAGTTGGGCTCCTTCCCCTCCTTTCTACATCCAGTTCCACAGGGGCTCCAAATGCACACGTTCAGTGTACTTAACCAGGACAAGTTAGAGGTATTTAGTATTTTATTAGTATTTAGCATTTAGTAGCCTGTTGTTTTACTGTTTTGGGGGGTGGGGGGGTATAGCTTAGCCTGCTTTTGATCTAGCCCATTTTCAGCTTATGATTCAATGCTTCCAAGTTAAAGGAATGAC